GTAAGATCCTTTAAAGGTTCCGTGGATTTTTTTATCCTATTTTTGAAACTTTAAACGTATTTGCACGCTTTTCGTCATCTACCAAACCTTTTTTCAAGATTCGGTAAAGTACCTTTTTTTTTACAGTGCAGTGTCTCGTAAAAGCCTTCAGTCATATTAGAGATCCGTGAAATGCGTTGTTGAGCACTTCGTGTTCCCTTCCTAGTGGCCATGTTGAACAATGAATGATTTGAATTACTGTGCAATGAATAGATTATCTAGAAGCAAATGAAAAAAAACCTAGCATTGACAAAAAGTAATATTGTTTGAAACAAATGAATGTGTTGACAAATCATCCTAGTCAAACTTTGCACAATTTCTGTCTTAAATCTAAATATTTTATACTTGAAATATAACATCGTAGAGAGATGTCTTCTATTGAGAGTGAGAGTGAGGTACGGGTACACTCTAAAAAAATTCGGGATTTAACCGAACTCCTAAAAAAGGTTCCGGAGATTTCGAAAAGCATCCAAAGGTGTCGAAAGTCTCAAAAGAAAAGGATAAAAAAATATATGAAGCCTTTAAAGGTTCTTACGGTATGCCCAGAATAAGGACCTTTTCCTGCGAAACCTTTTTAAAGTTCCGAACAGCAGAAAAACGTTTCGTGGGAAATACGAAACCTTTAGAGTTTCATATTAAACTCGAGGAGATCATGAGAGTTTAGTATGAAACTATCAGGGTTTAGTACGAAACTATTAGGGTTTAACATGGAACTCTAAAGGTTTCGTATTTTCCTACGAAAACTTTTTCTGCTATACGGAACTTGAAAAAAGGTTTCGCAGGAAAAGGCTCTTAACATGGGCACACCGTAAGAACTTATAAAGGTTTCGTAGATTTTTTTGTCCTCTTTTCGAGACTTTGGACACCTTTGGAAGCTTTTCGAATCTCCGGAAACTTTTTCAGGGGTTCCGCAAAAAACCGATTTTTTTAGAGTGTATAGGTGTGGGTGGGGTACGCAATAACAAAAATCTTCTCCATATCATTATCAGTTTATAAAGAAATGTATTTGACAATGGTTTTTCCAGGGTTTGATTTGATTTCTGGAAATCTAGTTTTAGGGTGAGTTAGACTAACCACAAGTAACGTTCATCGGATTCCGACTCACTCATCCCTAGACTAAAAGGCGATGAAATGTGATTTGACTAGATATGTAAATGAGACTATCAAAGGGTACATCTCTGGCTGAAATTAAAAGATGTGTTACAAGAGAAAAGACGAGTGTTTTTAAAGTTCATAATTAGAAATCAGTTCAAAATAAAAGCAATTTAAAGTTCAGCTGTCAGAACTACAAAGAAAAGAAACATAAATATCTAAAAGTTGTAAAAAAAAGAAATAATATTCATCGAATGCGGATTCACTTTACCGTAGACTGTTGAGTGTTGAATATATTTGAATGACCAAAGAACTGGAGATTCTGAAACCAGAAATTTAAAAAGAACTAATTACTAAGCTTTCGTAGCTCGGTTTTTGAGCACTGATGACATTCATGGAAACCATGAAGTCTTTCTACCGTTTATAGTTAGGGTGTTATTAAGTGACCAACTGAAAAGGAATTTAGATTTAAATACGGAAATGTTTCGTCTTTATGTTAGAACAGGTTAAAAACATTAACCAACGTCAATTTCATATACGATACAAAAGTTATTCTTCATCCAAAACATAATCTGGAGAGTATAAGCGGCTCAAAGCGGACGCAGGTGTAGCATTGTTTTGTAAAGAGGTCTGGCAACCACGGCACACAACTATGAATCCAGTTGTCGTATCGATCCCGCATCATCCTAACAGTGCTCCATTCACGAGAACATCGAAACCAGAGAAAGTTTCTAATATTCGCCGAACATAGCATATTTTGAGTAAGAAAACATTTCAATATGATGATTTCCGATCAATAAAGATCCTTACTGGTAAATCGTGAAAAATCAATTTTCAAAATAGAATCCGATATTTCGTCGCTCTGAGGTCCAAGAAGATGCAGGTTCGAAAACGATCTAATAAGAAATTGTGACCAATTTTGAGTCAGCATTTTATAGTCGCATACAGCGCAATTTCGGTCAGTTGCCATATTTGATTCATTTTTCGCACGTGTTTTCGCCCTATGAGTCGGAAAGAAAGGAACGTTTGGTAGAAAAAACAAAGAAACTATGAGTCTTACCGATGTTGATCACGATCACGTTCTAATCTAGTATTTCGCTCTGCATCAGTCTCGCGCGCTCGTAAGTTGTGTCGACGGTTCATTTCTTTAGCACGTTTGACTGTAAGACGTTCTTCTCTCTCTTTTCCGTTTTCTTTTGCACGTTTATCGGTTAGACGTGTCACTTCGTATTGGCTACGTGATATAACATGCGTTTGCTTCTCTTTCACTGTTTTGTTGACACCAAAAGCGATCTATCGCTGCTTTCTGTATTGTCTGTCAATAGTCAGGCGACTCTCTTTTTGTTCAGCAGTCTCAAGAAGAGCACGACGGGCACTCGCGCATTAATTCTAAACTATTATAATAAATTATATATTCATTGACACAACATTCCGCAATCAATCCTACAATAATCAATAATTTAAACGGTTTCTTTAAATCCATACTGCCCATTTGGTCTGACTCTCACTAATTAAATCTTTTTGTAGGCCGTTTTACACCATTGCCCGAATTATAGTTATTCCATTGACATTTTACCCATGATAATTATGGGTTCATTTACATCAGTCTGTAGATGGTCATTTGTATCATGGTTACCGGAGTAGTTGTTTGTACCATGTTTGCTATATGGTCACCTGTGCCATAGTTACGTGGTCGTTCCTACCAAAAAAATCACCGTTTGTGCCATAGTTACATGCTCATTCGGTCCATAGTTACCCAGTTAATTTTAATAAAAAGATGGTCACTTGTGCCAAAAAAGTGGACGTTTGTGCCGTAAAAATGATTGTTTTTGCCAAAAAATTGGACACTTTTGCCATACCAATGGTCTTTTGTGAAAAAAAAATGATCTTTTATGCCAAAAAGATGGTCCGTTTTGCCAAAAAACTGGCTATTTGTGCCAAAAAAGGCTCACTTGTGCCCAAAAAAGTGGTCGTTTGTGCCGTAAAAATGGTTGTTTTCTGCCAAAGAAATGGTCGTTTATACCCAAAACATGGTCACTTGTGCCAAAAAGTCATCATTTGTGTCAATAAATGGTCATTTGTGCCAAAAAAGCGGTCGTTTGTGCAAAAAAAATGGTTGTTTGTGCCAAAAAAATGGTCACTTGTACCGCGTTACCGACAGACAGACAGACAGGCAGACACAGGTGAATTTAGGTTTCTAGACCCTAGCCTTTCAGTCTAGGGAATATCTTCATTGATAGATTTGAAGAAGGTATATATTGGTGATAGAAATACTCTTCATCATGAATACTAATGAGACTCATCTTTGTACATGGCAAACGAACTTTCTTTTGTTATTACTGCATAAACGAGAGTTGTTTTCAAAAGATGAACAATACCAGGAATATCTTTTTTTTTTATATTCTTTTCGAATATGTTCAGCTTGTTTTAATTGATATTTCGATCCTCAGTACCTCATTCAATGCTTGATTGAGTTTCATTCACAATTTTCAATCTTAAATATTGTTTCAAACAAGAAAGCTGTGATCGAAACTAGTCAAAGTTATGCAAAGACTCATTTCTTTAAATTGTTTTTCAATTAGTTTAATTGTGTGAATGAAGCATGGAGCAAATATTATGACGTGCTAATGCAAAAACGCACTGGACAAATGCATTTGTCTCAAATTCAGAGATCGGTGAATGTGGATGTAGAACTTCGTTAGATAAACACTCGCATCCTGAATATGTCAGAAAAACAAAGAAGGCGAAACAGATGCAATCTTAAGCAACGAAAAATAATGACTATCTTCCCACGAGCAATTAAAATGTTAGTTATTGAGAAGTGTAAAGTCCTTTTTAATGACTTAGGATATATCATGCCATACAAAAGCTATATTACTTGCCGCATGATATCAAAACTATTAATGATTTCAATCCAGTCAATCTGTGTTTCGAATGTGATACATTAAAAGATATTTAATACTTGTTATTGCAATTATTTTCGGATTATTTTCGGAATGATTATTTTTAATATAATCCGATGCCATATTTTAAGAAAGGCTGTCCTTATTTTAGATTTAGTGTTACACCTATTTAAAAAACCGATTTCATATAATACTTGAGCATTTGACTTGAAACATTTCAGTTTTTTGTTTGCTACTATTACATGCAATTCGAATCGGATGAAAAATGTATTTTCTATGGCATCTTCCGAGAAAAACCCAGCAAATATAAAGTGTATAGATGGTCATACAGCAATATATTCGAACAAATGTTTGAATTTGTACCTATGGTAATCAAGTAGATAGAATTGATTTTCTTTTTTAAATACCATTATCTTTTCTATAATATTACTATCGTTAATATACGATTGCACTTGAATTATCAGAAATAGGACTTTTGTAACTAATATTAAATAGTAGACATAAGTAATAATTTTCATTTGGCATATATATTCTAAACATATAAACTTTTTGATTTACTTTGCATTAGTTTTTATAGATAAACTCATGTCAATTTTAAAAGTCATTATTCTTTGTATAATAATCTATTGTACAGAAAGTACTGTGTATGATATTACCACTTCAACTTTGAATTGGCAATCTATTCTAAATAATTTAAAACCTGGTGATATTGTCACCATTCATCAGGGTACTTATACGACGGCAGGTTCTGGATATTTTCAATTAATATTGAATGGTCAATTAACACAACCGATTATTATTCAAGGTGCACCAAATGAAGCTCGTCCAATTATAGCGAATCCAAAAACTGGTTTAGATGCTCAGAATATTCTTAATATTCAAGGATCTAATTTTATGCTAAAACATTTAGCGTTTACTAAAGGTTCGAGAGGCATACGTATAGGACCAGCTGGTAAGAATGTGAAAATTGCTCTATATATTACATTGATATATATATATATATAGTTACATTCAATGCAGTATTCGATGATCTTTATATTTATGATACTGGAAGTACGGCATTTACAGCAAACGATGCTGGAAATGAATACTATAATCTTACATTGAGAAATACTGAAATCAGAAATACAAGTGCTCTTGGTGAGTATAATTCTGTTATTAAATCTAATTTATAATGTAACATTATTTATATAACAAAATAATAGCAACAATGGGTGGATGTGTTTATTTTGGTTGTGTGAATGATTTGTGTCGTGTACGGGATTCTCTTCTTGAACATAACTATTGTCATGATACTCTCGGCTTACAAGAAGGATATCGACCTGGATTTCAAGTTAAAGTACCATTATAGGATTTATTTTGAATTATGAGTTTTCTCGAAACTTTTTTTATACTTGTAGCCTGGTTCTCACAATGTAATGATTCGTAATAATGCTTGTTATAAAATTCCTGGTCCATGTATTCTTGTTTATGATGATTATAATCGTGGACGAAATTTTATTGTAGGAAATTATGCAATCCAAGCAGGTACAACAGATCACGGAATACAATGTACATCAGGAGTAACAATTACAAATAATGTTATTATCTATGCCAGTAAGTTTTTTTTATAAAAGGAACATGTTTATATTCAAATGGTCATTATTGATCAGATGAAATACTTACTATTCCACATTTGAGTATTCTTTTTTTTAAGTATAGATGAACTATTAAAAAAGAGTCCTTCTATTGTTCTATCAAGTGGTAAAAGTTCAATCTTGACTCCGAAATATGCATTTATACAGTGGCTGCCAAAATTGTCCGACAGGGTGTAATATGGATTTTGTTTCGTAGCCGTAAGTGCTAGAAAGAATCCCGATAGTGATTTGAATAAAGACAATTGCTTCCAACAAGAATCCAAGAAAATGAAAATCGTCAGTGAATTCCGGAAAATAGGATTTCTAGCAAACCAAAACCATGATTTTTCAACACCCAGAAGACGCAAAAAAAATTGTTTTAACAGCTTTGAATGATAGAGCGGCCAATTTTCTATAAAATGAGACCTCTTCGAACTTTTTACGACCTTCTCTTCAAAAGTTATAAGCGTCACAAAAACCAAAAAAATGCTGTTTTTGGTCGATTTTCTGATAAATTTCACTGTTTTTCGATTTTTGTGACGCTTATAACTTTTGAAGAGAAGGTCGTAGAAAGTTCGGAGAGGTCTCATTTTGTAGAGAATTGGCCGCTCTATCATTCAAAGCTGTTAAAACAAATTTGTTTTTGCGTCTTCTGAGTGTTGAAAAACCATGGTTTTGATTTGCTAGAAATCCTATTTTCCGGAATTTACTGACGATTATGATTTTCTTAGATTCTTGTTAGAAATAATTTTCTCTATTCAAATTACTATCGGGATTTTTTCTAGCACTTACGGCTACGAAAAAAAATCCAAATTACACCGCGTCGGACAATTTTGGCAGCTACTGTATATATTTATCATGATTTATATGTGATGCAAACATTGCTACTCGACTTTCTTATTGCATGTTAAGCATTGATTAATGCTGATACTATAAAAAAATTGATCTTAGATGAAACATTCATTTGTACTTTAACAATACGAAAAAAAACGAGATGTTTTACTGTATCTTAAAAACAACAGATAAAATTAAATATATCTTTTGAAATATTGTTAAGAAAATATGAGCTAATAATCACCATAAAAACTATCAATAAGCATTATCTATTTCTTCTATTAGATCTTGCTGGTATTGGTGTAATTCGAAACTCAATCTATCCTGCTGTTGGTTACATTCGAAATATAACTATAAATCATAATACTATCTATATGTCACAAGCAGATGCATGTCTTCGCTTGAATGGATTAACAAATAATAATATTCTTATTTCAAATAATGTGTTGTATTGTGGAAAACAACAGTCAATCACATCTTCTGTTAACTTAGCTGGTAAATATATTTATTTATTTGCGTAGAAGTTTTTTTTTTTTGTTGTCTTGATTATAACACTCTCATCATTATAGGTTATCAAATTTATAATAATGCTGTGAATGGTCCTATTGAAGCTTCAGGAATTCATTCCACTGGAGTTTTCAATATTGAAGGCAATATCTTTTTCGATCCTAACAAGTTGAATTTCTATCCAGCCATAGGATCTCCATTAATCAAGGCTGGTGTACATTTTGATGATCAGCTTGTTACTTATGATTTTAATGGAAAAATTCGTTCGAATACAAATCCAACTGTTGGTGCTTATGTAAGTTAATATATTTCATATTTAACTGCATATAAAAGTAATATATTTTCTTTTTTCGATTATATTTAGGAATATTCTACTGGAATAAATCCCGGTTGTCAAATACACAGTAGTTTTAAATGTGGTTCATCTACAGCTATTACACCTAATTATTCTATTTAATTACACTCGAATGATTTAATATTACTAACTTTGAAAAATTTCCTCTAAAATAATAAATTTTGACCTTTGAAGGAATTTGCTTTTCACCCAAACTACAGTCATTATAATTAAGATAATAATCGATATGTATCATGATAATGTAATAAGTGGTCATCCTGATTTCGATTTTACTCATAGTGAATCAGATGTTCGAACTGATTACATTATTCTTTTGAGACAGATCTATGATCAATTAGATTTCGTAGTACAACAAATGCACATTTCATTGCTTTGAAATTAGAAGTATCCAATCAATAGAAAAAGTGCGACAAAAACTTTACTATCGGCAATAATAAGCGAGATTTGATCATATTGAATATGAATTCATTGACATCTGATGATTATTTAGTAATGGATCATGATGAACATGGTGATGATGTCCTGGGTCAGAACAATGATCTATTCATATCGAGTATATGGGTGTGGATACTTATTTAAAGACATGTCACACCTCCATCAAAATGCAAACCTTTTCTTCATGAAGATAAGATTTTGAACTATATTGTTCCAATCTTGTGGTTACTAACTGGAGAAACATTGTATATATTATTCTAATTATAGAGCAGCAATGGAGAAATTAGTGTTATCATTAAAATATGCTCAATTTGATCACTCAACTAAGATTTCGAAGATTGTATATAAAATTTTTTACATTATATTGAGAATCAAACATAAAGACCAAATCAACTTTTATTATTTCACATTATTCTTCACAATAATATAATTCTATTTTATATCAAGAAAAAATCTATGAACTGTAACTGATAATATAAATTTGATATTAAAAGAAAATATTAGAAGATGTATACTTTATTCAACATTCTTTATCATACTTTCGAATGGTTAACATCTATTACGTTTTGCCAAGTATTTCATCCAATATCGGAAGATCCTTGAGATCTTTCAATGTATCAGGTACTAGAAAGTCACTTTTTGTCCAATTATCCACAACAAAATCTTTTAAATCGCTATTTTCATAATCAATGGACTCCTCTACCAATAAAATTTAACTTAATCTCTCATCTGCATCTGAAATATCCTTCTTGGTTCGACTACAAAAACGATATTAGAATTATACATTTTGCAGGCGCACATAAACCTTGGAATACTCCATTTAATATAACAAATCTCAAACTTGATTTTAATCTACTTTGGCGCCGCTATGGTGAAAATCTGTTGTGTGGGTATA